ACTTCGCTGCGGTTGAAGTCTGAAATCCGATCAGGGTCTGAGAGCAGCTTATGCGCCATTAACGGCTTTGCGATGTAGCTCTGCACTGGTGTTCCCTTTCTGGACTGATTTCGGTAAACGAAAAAAGCATTTAGGGCTGTACGGGCTGCAGTCTTGCGCTGGGCTGACAAGGCGTCGGAGTTGGAGTCCCGGCAAGATTTTTCTCTTCACAATATTCAGACCTGTTTGGAACACACCCAGTCTCCTATCCCGGGTACCGAGAGCTTTTTCTTCGGGAGTAAAGCGGCCGGGTCGTGAAGCTGACCACCCACCTCCAACTAGTGTCGAGGTCAAGAAAATGTGAATATATACATCGACTCCCCCATACGCCTTCAAGGCGTTGTTCTTAATTACTTGAGCACGGGGACAGCTTTACCTTTTACAGGCTACAGTGTAGGCCGTGTGGGTGTCGGGTTACACGACTCCGAAGCCAGTGCACATCTTCACAAGATATTTGTTTACAGTTAACTGACACAGCGTCCAGACCGGCTCTAGGGCGCACCGAGCCTCCTACCCAATACGTACCTGGGACTGTTTCGCTTGGGGTAAAGCGCGAGAGGGCATGGAACTGACCACTCACCTCCATCTAGTGCTGAGATCTAGAATGGCGGAGCTATACCTCCACTCCCCCATGTCTTCATGGTGTGGTGCTTAATTACGCACAGCGACAACTTCAGAGTTCAGTTTTAGCGTCATGTAAGGAAGATGTCGCCTTGGATTGGTACGAGGGAAAGTACAAATTTTATAGACGTATATAACAGAACGATTTATACCCGCTGAGTATTTTATAGCGGAACCCGGGGGGAAGATTTCAGCTCCCCGTTGCGCATTCAATCAATCCGTTTCGTGGGAAGAATGCACGAGAACTTTCGTAACTCGCCATTCTTATGGGTGCTGTAGTTTGGTTAGACCTGGTCTAGACAGTTTAGTAGACTGGCAATTGCTCAGAATTACATAATTGTGCATAATGACATAACCATCTTCACATTAACCTGCCTTCCCCTGTTCAAGTAGGGAGAACCTTGGCATTTTGTTTCGGATTAGGGTCGCCACTGTCTATGGCCGCCTCTTACTGTTACACGTTAACCTTTGCTCTTCTTCTTCTTCTTCTTCTTCTTCTGATGATGATGGTAAGGCAAACGTTTTCCAGATGCATTCTCTGCTGTTTTGGTTACCTTATTTACTGAATGTTCGTTTGTTGCGGATACTACAAAGTTAACCACAGCACCGATATCACACTTCAAGTTCCACCATGATTTTCTGTTGTATGTCTTTAATCCAGTTATTTAACGACGCTTTCGGTAACGAGACTACATAGCGTCGATGGATGGATGAATTAATGAACGTGGAGCAGTTGGTGTAATGAGAATTGGCGGGGGAAAGCGACGTGCAGTGCCATTTTGTTCACAGATACCGCGTGACCTGACCTGGAATGGAGAGCGACAGCTCTGCAAGTTGCCAGGGAACCAAAATGGTGCCGCCTCTGCTGGCTGCTACATAAGCCGTTGTGGTAAAACCGGAGCAGTGGCGTGGTTATCATTAACAGTAAAGATAGTGAAGGAATGCATGCCGTGGTGCGACAGATCACTATACATCTGCTTCTCGAACAAGGTCACATCTGTTCAGCAAGAGTCGATTGTAATCGACCAACTGCACACAGCAGCTGGCGCTAGATCATGTGAGCAGGAAATTCCCCGCCTTTTGTGCAACATAAAGCTTCATTACATTGTTTAATTTGTTACGCTGTGTAGTTCGGTAGGAGGCTACCAACTTTTCGGAGGAGTATATCGCCTCCATGTTCAGGTCCGAATACCAGTGCAAGCTGCAAAGCTTATTGCTGGTTTCATGCTTGGCTTACTCTTGGGGCGAGGGCACACCAAGGAAACTGGCAACCGCAATGCAACCTGAATTTCCTTCGTGTACGTTCGCCCTTAGGCCGTGAAGATGGAAGTCGATACGTTCCTCAGAAACGTCGGGGGAATTCTACCCAACTACACGGCGTTACAATCCAGAAGGCCGTTAACTCTTCGTTCAGTAGTATTCACAACCGAACCGGCTGGTCTGGCGGTGATGCTTTGGATTTGAATTTGGGTGGTTTGCTTCGAATCTCGGCCAGAACAACGGCTATCGTGGGGTTATACGAGGTTTTCTTTAGTCCCACCAGGTAAATGCAGGGACAGGTGTACCATGTTTAGGCTACCATAGTTTCCTTCCAGATCCTTATTTGGCTTACTCTTCTGCTTTGAAGATGGAGAATACGTAGAAGTCGGTACTCTATAGTCACTGCTGGGGGGGGGGGAACTTAAAATCCAGGAATTTTAACATTACCAGGAAAACAAGCAGAGATGCCCATAAATGCAGTCTTTACGGGAGGGCAGAGTTATGTATTTTAGGCAAAGGACACGCACTTCGCTGGAACACAAACACAAATAATCATACAGCCTGCAACGTTTTATTGCGAACGTATGTGAGAAGCTTTTAGTCGCATGTTCTGAACCCCCTGCAGCAAACGTTCGGCTTTTATTACAGTCATCTCTGGCCAGTGTTTACCATATGATGACACATGTTGTCAGTTTCCCAGGCAAAAACAGTTGACAGTCGCACTGCGCTTGCGCACAGCGGCAGTGCGTGTTGGCTCTGAAGTCAATTATCCAGTTGGCGAAACAGTTAAATTGAAGCGCAGGAAGTTGATGTCATTGTACAGTCGTGGGCTCCAAAGAATTAATACCCCCACCCCCGCCCGCTGGTTTGAATCCGGATTTGGTGGTGGTATCCATTTTGTTAGCCTACTCTCCTTATTAAAAAAAATGTAAAAGCAGGCTTATGAGATCGCCTTGCTGTCTGTATGACCATGTATTCCCCACCTATCAGCTTTCGAATGCGTGAACCAGTCTTTATGAAACTTGGTATATGTTTCATGGCACCTGAGCCCATCTTAACGGCGTACTTCATAAATCACTCCCATCAGTTTGACTGTATTTGTATTTCCCGTTTCGTTGCTAGGCAACGGCTAGGTAAACACGTTCTCGCGGCAAATAATACACGAAACAATAGAAATGTTTGACGCGGTTCATGTCATACCAAACGAAAGTAGGCGAGTAGTTCATCTTGTAACTTCTTGATTTGCAGAGAAATTGTGAAGTGAACGAATTATGGGAGGGTAATAGCCGCGTGTCTATCTGTGTACTCTGTTTCCCAACAAAATGAATGAATTTCGATGAAATTTGGAAGAGGGCGTGTAGATTGAAAGATGATTCGCGAATTTTATTTTAAGTCTCGTATGGCTTCAGTACAGTATTATACGCTACAATATATGAAACCACAGGATTGATTCCCTTAACATGTAACACTCTTGACTCAGATTCGGGAGGTCTCCAGTTCGAATCTCGACCGGTACACCGGCTATCCTGATCGGCGTATTTCGTGGTTGACCTTGAATCTGCCCAGAGAAATGGTGGGATCCGTTCACGACCACTTCATCCCAAACCATTTTCAGTTCGACATTTCATCTGTCATCCTACCATTCAACGCTGTGTTGTCTCGCTACTGGCAGCGCCGTACATAACTCCACAAAGAGGTATAAGGTAAAGCTGTCCCTGTGCTTAACTAATTAAGCACTGCGCCATGAAGACGTATGGAGAAGTGGTTGTATGGATCCATGTTTTCTTGACCTTGGCACTAGCTGGAGGTGAGTGGTCAGCTTCACACCTCGTCCGCTTTACCCTCGGTACCCTTGGATATGATGCTGGGTGGGGGGCCCCAGAGCCAGTCTGGACGACATGGAGAAGAGAAAATTCTCGACCCTACCGGGACTTGAACTCCGTCCATCCCGTAGCGACTGAGCTGAAGATATATAAATTTGCAGCACTTTTAATGCAGTGCGAGGTATTTAGTGACAAAAGTGGAATTTTTATGTGCTTCACACAAGGTGAGAGAGCCGGACGTGCCTCCTATTAAGCCGGGCGGGCTCATAACGCATGAATTTGCTTCGCTGTAGAAGACAAAGTAAAGTAAAGATATCCCTATAACAGGCCGTGGAGGCCCGTAGGGTTGTGAGACGTCGAGGTTCCCACATTTTCTAGACAGTCGGCTCACAGATGGCGGCAAGGTTGTCAGCCCTACGCGCTGGTCGCCCTTTACTCACAGGAATATTCCTGGTACTGATTTCTGTTAGATAGTGATTCGACCCCAGGGCCATAGTGCGGCTGGAAGGAATAGGTCAATTGAAAAAATCCACCTCAACGGGACTTGATCCCGCGACCTTCCGGTTTATAGTATAGTGCCTCAAGCAACTAAGCTACCGCGTGCAGACAAAATAAGCTGTATTTCTCGCTGGAGTGTATTATGCGATGTTGAATAGTTTTGTTAGTAGTAGACTCGATGCAGTACCGTGTAGTACAGTAGTCACTCTGCCGTTGATGGGCCCTGTCAGTGACAGATTTATATGTGCTATTATCATCAAGCAATTCCCAGCACCGCATTTGTACACGACGCTTGCTAATAGCATAGTCTGTATTTTTTTGTCGAGTCCTTGTAACCACTTGCATAAAACGAACGCATAATGGTGATAACTGTCAGCTCGTAATGTGTTTCAGCACTGAAACTATTTTGCGGTTTCCTGTACAGGGAAGTTCTTGAGCAATTTCGGTTCTTGTCCGTCAGACGTAAAACCTGAAGAGTATTTATCTGCTGGGCATTGACTGAGTGTAGTCCGGTAGTTCACTGTAGTTTCCAAAGAACGTCAGCGGAAATGTGTTTAGCGATCCATTGCCTAGCAATGAGTACACGTCACAGTATTGTAGCAAGGGAAACCAGTTAGGTCGGGCCTTACACGATCCCTGTCTACATTC